TTATGAATGGTTAAGGAGGATGGACCATGACCCTCCACGCTGGCCCAATGCCGATTGGAGGGTATTAACGACTGCAAATGCAGCCGGGACCAACGGCTTCACGTGCCTTCCGAAGCACGGTGTAGCTCGACATAATAATTTTTTGGTCACCCATCCCGTTACCGACCCTTGCGAAAGTTGCTTAACGACAACGATCGCGGGTCGCAGCGCTTATCCACTACGCCACCGAGGGCAGTTCACTATCGGGTTCACGGAGGAGAATCCTACTCACCCCCTGTTGCTTGCTCCGTAGCAGAGACAATGTCAGAAGCTTTTCCACGACGTTAAAAAAGTTAGATTCACGTCAACTGAAGTTAAGAAGGTAAAGACAACTCGATTGATTTTTTTTCTGTTATTACAATTTTTATGTAATAATAATACCACTTTTATTTATTTTTTTACTTACAAATTTGCTGTAGATACGTACTTCAAAGTTGATATTTTCAGTCTTCGCTGGAAACAATTGTTTATTTATTTGTCACAACACATATAATATTACGCGAGTCTGCGGATCGGTTCAGAATAGCTCGATGGCGTAGTGAATAAACACCATGGCTCGCGTTGTAGTTGTTAAGCAACTTTCACAAAGGTCGGTCACAGGATGGGTGACCAAAAATATTGTTTCAAGCAACTCCAAGCTTTGTAAGGCATGTAAAGCGATTGGTCCTGGTTCTATTTGCAGTCGTTGATATTCTCTAATTCGCATTGGGCCACCACGGGAGGTCGTGGCCCATCCTCCTTAATCCAAAATGCTCCTGTTAATGGTGACGTAAATCGGCTGATGATGAAGATGAGGGCCGTTCAAATCTGACGGAAGCTCAGTTAAGCACCTCTCGGAAGTACGTGTTAGTAGACAATTTCCTTCGAGTGTGGAAAGTCGAAATTAAATATGTATATATTACCATTAATAAATAAAACTCAACGTATCTTTCGTCAGACATGTACCGACCGACTTTTATTCACAAAGAAAGAGATTTGACGGACAGCGTTCGGTCTAGGGAAACATCTGAATAACGCGAAGCGTATTTAACTACCCATCGAGAGGCTCATGCAGTATAAAGTTGAATCTGAAGCATTGACCGTCAGGGACAATCTCTTGAGCTCTCGGAGAACTCATACAACAAGCGTTTAATCTCAGGAAACTTTTGAAGGTCACATAGCGCGTCTAACTGCTAACCGTAACATACATGCAGTATGGTATGAGTATGAAACTTCCTTTGATAGAGAAATGCGTTTGGTCTCTGAAAGAGCTCGCAGCTTACACAATAGAGATCGAGAAAGTAGTTTCGATTATCGCCAACCCGTGTTGACTTCATACTCCACAGGCGTACCGCAGATAAGTTTTCACAAGGTTTAATGAACTAGCTGTTTTCCCGCAACTTTGCCGCAAAATTATAGCCTATGACATCCGTGATGTAGCTTCCCGTAGGTAGAATCGCTCTGAAACTATCGGTCCAGTAGTTTTGGGGCAAATTCGATGCAAACAAACAAACAACCAAATCTTTACTCTTTATAATATAAGTATATCTTAGGTATAAGCGGTCTGATGGCGTAGTGGATTAACGCATTCGGTTTAAATTGCAGTGAAATAAACAAGGACATACTTGAATACTTATTTTACATAACTAAGTACAAACGACAAACTCATCGCTAGCAAGCGATTTCTTCCAGGCAACCTAGCATTACATGGAAAATAGAACAATAAATAGCCGATTGTGCATACAACTAGATAAATAATAATAATTTAAAAATATCAAAAACAAAAGAAGGACAGTTTCAAGGTACGAATAAAATTCTCAAACACAAAAGACAACCAGAGCGCGAGAAACGAGAAAAAAAAATAGAAAAATTACATTCGTAAGGACAGGATGGATGGACCATAACATTATTATCTTGAGCACTGTGCACAGCACTGGCACAATGCACGTTAAGCCGTTAGTCCTGGCTGCATCAGCAACGTGAACACCCACCGATCCGCATTAAGCACAGTGGGTTATGGCCCTGGAAATAATGTATATGGCAATATTGATCTTATACCTACGTTCAATTATAATAATCTTAGTTACAACTATTAATTTCTTAACAACAGATGGTAAAATCCATGGGTTTTATGGTGCTTACATTTGCGTTGGCAACAGTAGTTTGGCTATTCGAGGAAGCACTTTTTAACAATCTTATTAAGAGGATGGGCAAGAAGAAAACAGAATAATGTTAATTACAATATTATCTAAGATAAACAATAAATGAGTTTATTTTCTTAATTATATTTTCTTTTTTTTTTGTACATATCATTAACGGTTATCAAATGGTTGCGTGAGTGAGACGGGAATGCAGCATACCGCGTCCTGTGATCGTTTCTTTGTTGCGTGTAGTTATAATGTGGTGGCCCGCCACAGCTGCTGCGGTAATTGGTTTTTTTCTTTTAGTTCAGCGATCTCGGTGTGCATTTTGCGAAACTCGTCAATTAAAATTTGCATATTTATTTCATCTTTCTTGTTTGCTATCGGCGTAGTGATAGATGATACTGACGAAATTTTGTTTTGTTCTATCATCTTATCAGCGGACTTGGCGATATCGTCAAGTACGGTATCTTCAACCAATATGTCGCTTACGACGAGTATCGAGCGTAAATGTGGTGGTAGATGATTCAACCACATTGGCCGTAGTGTTTTGTCGGGGATTTTTCCCGTAGCGAGCGTTTTCATACGACGAAGTAACTAGCTTGACCTCTGGTCGCAGAGTTCCATGTCGGAGAGGAACCTTTATAGCTGCTTGCTGTTGGATTCCTCGTTTACAGTACAGATTTTTTTAACGATTGTGTAATAGCCCTCAGGCGGTGGTGCGTAAAGTAGGTCGCAGATTTGCTCGACATCTTCCTTGTTTATTTGGGTGATGACCATCTGCGCCTTCTGGGCTATGTTATAAGCTCACTAACTGCAGCTTCAAAAACGGCGAACCACAAACGTGCTTTAGCGCGCCAGAATGGTGGCATGCAGAGTGGGAGTGCGACGTTTGGATATTTCGTTTTGATGTGGACGGCGACGGTGGGTTTGCTTCAGTGTTGTGAATGTTTTCTTGCAGGAGAAAAATTTGTTTCGAAACAGGAGTAGTTCTTCGAGTCTTTGAAGTCGTGTCGTTTAAGAATTACGTTGATTGAAGGTCACGTCGTTTGAAGATCACGTCGGTTGAAGACCACGTCAGGGTCACCATCTAAGACCCAACCTTTAACAATAACGGTTCCTACAGTGGTGACCCCAGCAGAACATCAGCAACCTTCAGCACCAACGCAGCCATCACTCTTCATCAACAGCCTCTCACCCTTCATCAACAGCCGTTCATCCCTCATCAGCACAGCCACTTCAGCAGCGAATCAACCAACACCAAGACCCATCACAGCAGCATCGACAACGCTTCCAACCTTACGGTTTCTACAACTTTACGTAGTTTGCATAGAAACTGCTAGGTGGCGTAGCGACGATACCTTGTTTAGAAGGGCTGATTACAATTTCTTGAACTTTAAGCGCTCATTCCTGAAAATCGCATTTTTTACATTGTGTCACTATCGTTCTCAGCGTACGATATCTGAACCCAGGATCGTTGATATTGAAAAATATATACAATATACAATACTTTTAATGAGGCCTATATTATAAGATCGTGAATTTCGACGAAGGTATTTATTTAATTTATGTTCAACTACAAAAAAAAATCTATAGTTAGTGTTTGTTCTTTATAGCACATGGACAGAGTGACCAAGCAATCTATTAACAGAGCTATAAAGCCTTGGGTGAATGCCTTCTCACCTATCGTTGCAACTAGAGGGAGCCATTAAAGCGGTTTTCAAAATAATTTTATTCCTGCTCAGGTGGTAACGGCTCGCCAGCTTTTTGTTGCTATTGTGTCTAACTAACCGGTGGTCTTTTGATAGGTGTATACAAAAAAACCACTGGAGATCAACCCCTAAATGGTCATAAACTATCTGTAGAAGATTTGTTTGTTCCCGAGCTGATCCAAAAAGTAAATTTGCACAGCAATTTCATAAGAATGGGCCATGCCCCTTCACGCTAGCCCAATGCGGATTGGAGGGTATTAAAGACTGCAAATGCAGCCGGGACCAACGGCTTGACGTGCCTTCCGAAGCACGAAGTAGCCGGAGATAATATTTTTTGATCACCCATCCCACGACCCACCCTTACGAAAGTTGCTTAACAACAACGATTACTTAATTTTCTTATACCAAGATTCTAGATCCTAATAAAACTTTGAATAAATATAATAACCATCGATTGAAAGAAAAGATCTTAGTTTTTGCTAACACACCAAGAATCGATTAAATGTTTCCAGGCACTTCACTACCCATCTACCGTAAACTATTATGTTGCTATTAAAAACGGCGATATCGCGATATTCTTTGCATTACGTGCTTAGTACTACGCAATGTAATAAATATGCGCACTTCTCCAGCAATGTATATTTTCATGAAAATATTTGTTGTGATTCACACTTTTGATAACATTTCACGAATTTCGACTAAAAATACTAAATTTGAGAAGTGTTCTACTTACTAATGGAAAGAAATCCTTCCTTTGGACCTACTTGAGGATGAGCTTCTTGTTTTGTAATAAATAACTGCGCAAGTCGGCATTTTTAACACTTTTAGTGGCGTGTTTTACAGTACTTACAGCGCGCGCGTTCGTTAATGACTAAACATCGCGATCGCCTGGTGAAGTCACGATCCTGTACATTTGTCCAGGATCGTGGCTACACGGCCACGCCCACAAGGTCTTTCTAACGTCTTTATGTGTTCTGTGCTCACACTCATATATACTACACTGCACTGCATGTCGCCACACGTGATTAAATAAATCAGTTTCATACAATGAGTTTAAACATCTCTATAACAATTATCGAAACTTATCATAATCCAAGTTCCTTAGTGGTTAAATGAAAAGGACATCAACACAATGAAAAATGTATTTATTAGAATTATAATTACAGAATAACTTCTAAGGTATTTTAAGGAAATAATTAATAATATATGCAGTACTTTACTTTTTATGCTTACTACAAAACCGCAATCGATTTTAACAGTTAAAAAAATTCTTAGTTTCAGATAATTAAAACAATAATAGCTTTGCTTTATGAAGTCAAAAAAAAAATAATTTGAAACATGAAGGTATAACTTATAGGTATACTGCTGCGTCGAATGTATTCGCAAGGTTACATTTAGTGCTATACGGAAGATATAGGGTTCGTCCGGAGCTATCGTACATATAGAATTTACATTCTATTGCGAGTAGAAAAACAGGGCTGGCGGAGAATCCGTCCGTCTGAAAAAACTAACTTAAGCAAACTAAGCAACTGCCTAGGGCTCTTGTATTTGGGGACGGCATGGCCAACAGATAAAGTTTGCTCTAATTTTTAACGTTTAATTGCAGTACTTTTAAGAAAAAGACTTGTTCTTTGACTATGACTATGGACTTTGTCCATGTCCGCGGTATTCAAAAGTACAATATTTTCATATCAGCATAAGTCTTTTGTCATTGGCACACCTATATTAAGTCTTTTATTATTTGCGATATTTCTATGCGTGTGGTTCCAGTGTTTTGCCTAGGGCGCCAATATGCAGTATTTGCTTATGGCGCCCAATTTCATTAAGTCGGCGCTGATCTCGTTATCTCTTTTATCAATATTTATGTGCCGTATACTTTGTGTTAATACGCAAAGCATTAAACGATGGAATGCTCCATATACTGTCGATCCGTACTCGTCTCCGGACGTCGGACGTTAGCACTAAATCCAGCCTTTCCGACGTTCTAGTCAGTTTTTTTGGGCGTTGTTTCAACTTGAAGAATGGATTGCTTCTCCGGGACCAGTATCTTGACGAGGTTGATAAACGGTTGCTCCACCAGCAGCCACAGTATAGTCGAGAATATGAATGTAAGCACAACCACGCCCGCAGCGGTGTTCATCTGGAAACATTAAAAACCAGGTTAATGCAACAAATGTGTACCTATGCATTTTCAATTTAAATAATCATTAGGTACCTATTCGAAGTAGGAATACCTATTTAATTTTTACAACATGATTATTGAAAATATTGATTTGTCCATACTAAGATAAAAAATGCTAAAGTTACTTCACGCCTACATCATTGAACCAATTTTAATGGAATTTGGTATATAAATAAAGTGGACGTAGAATAGTTTTTATTGCGAAATAAAACAAATTTCACGCTGATGAAACTGCAGGCGAAAAGCTAGTACTTCAATATAAAATTGTCAATAATCCATTTCACTTAGCTTGCCTATTCGTGGGATAGTCTCTAAAAGACTGGCAGCATTGTCTCATTGAATGACTAAACTAACTCATCGAGTGAAATATCTGCCTAAGGTAGATGTGAAAAAGTCAGAAACTTATAAATATAGCTTTAAGCTCAGAAATCAAGTCTATTAAAATTAATTTGGATTTAAATTTTAACGTCTAAACAGCAAAAAGCAAAAAAAGTCCTTATGTCCTATTACTCACCGTATGCATATCGGAAGCAAAAGTAAGTTGACTATTGGTACCATACAACCATAAAGACAATATAAGGTTGGTGTTGTATGTGCAGTATGTTAGCTTCATGAGTGGTACCCATAACGGCCACTCCAGGATGCGACGATACACATCTATGTACAATAAGAAAACGAAGGTTTAAGAAATATAGAAATGCTTCCGAACAATAGTAATAAATACTAGAGAACAGAAAAAATATGACATTCCGTCTTAATCCAAATTAGTCGGTAGTTGAGTGTATATTGAACTCGAGACACGGAACTATGATTGCAATGATTAGCTGTGTCGGATGTTTGTATGAAGACAGAATACTGTATTTTTAACCGACTTCAAAATCCAAAAGGAGAAGGTTATATGTTCGACGGCGGCATGTTTTTTTATGTATAATTCTTAGTTTATTCGGCAGCATAATGGACCGTGGTGGTCCTTTTTAAATTTTATCTAAATCGAAGCACTACAGTAGCTTTCCTTTTATAACAAAACAAAATTTGTTTTCCATCAGATATCACCTAAATATTTAGATTATATGTTATTGTATTTCGAAAAAAAAAACAAGAGGTTACGTATTTTGAATTCATTCAAAATCCGAAAGGAGGATCGACCCAATAGTTTCGGAGCCTATCCAATGCAAACTAGCAAGCAATCAAATCTTTCCTCTTTATAATATGAGCATAGAATTATTAATATTAATAATTTGAAAAAATTGTGTCGAGCATATGAACAAAATCTCCTTTTTATAATATTTGATCAGTTTTGCATTAAAAATGCTATACCGAAAAATTCTTAAAAAATTCACTTTGTCCCTGGCACTCTGAGATGGGAGTCGAACCTATTCGCAATCTGGGCAAAAGCAGGCACCTATCATTTAATTAATAAACTACAGAAAACCTTCGCCCAACTACAAAAGCATTTTCTAAAATAAGTTACTTTTAAGATAAGTATTACTTATCACTTTTTTAAGTTTGAAGTCAGTTCTATTTTTTTTTAAATATATATATTTAGTTACTTTTTCATGTTAATTTTAATAGTAGTAAGCAAACTACAGCAGGTCAATTCTGCTAATATTTACGCAATCATCATATTGGCAAAGAGGAGTAAACTGACAACTTTATAAGTCTAAAAAATGCTCGTGCAATAACTAGATAACAATAACCCCAATAACTGGTGGGAAGAAGGTGAATACGATGCATTAATATTTTCAGAAAGTTTTACTTGCTCCCATCTAATAAATATAGGTAGATACTCACTTTCTATCCGACAAACGGCGCCGAACGATAGCAACGTAAGCAGAATAATCCAGGTAAGTTTCTGTAGGAGCGCGTACGTCAACCTGACGCCCATGCTAGCTTTACCCTCTCCCTCTCTTTGTATCAGGAATGCGTTCGTATATATAAGACACAAACACACGGGAAAAATCATCCAATACCAATACACGTATTTCTGGAAAAGATCAATTAACCTTGTAAACTTATTAGAAAAGAAGAAAAATATAAAATTATTTATCCAGTGATACAAATATATCCAGTAATATTAGGCCCTTACATATGAAATTGGTGTTCGGTACGCGAGGAAAAAACATCGAATATTTTTTTAAATAATATAATTATTTTATCAAAGTATAATCCATTGGTATCTATGCACTTTTGCCATTTCATAGGTAGTTCATTGATACCAGAAAAACCATTCGGACGGAAATCAATAAAATCTTTGAAGACGATTTGCACTGCCCCATCGGAGTTGAATTTTTTCCTTGCCAAAAGTTATCCAAATTTCGAAAAAAATGGTAATCTGTTAGACCAAGATTTGGGAGAGTACGGTGGATGTCTTAGAAATTCCAATTAAAGCTCTTCTAATTTGGTAGCCGTCTGTTGTGCAGTGTATGGTCTAGTATTGTCGTGAAGTAGCAGTGGCGTAGAGCGATTGACCAGACTCGGTTGTTTAAGAGCTAGTTTTTGCAGCATGGTTTGCAATTGCTGACAATTGTAACGTCCGAGCACATTACTATAGGCAGATTTACTCTTCGGACGGTTTATGGTCAATGCTGTCTGTTAACATCTTAAATTATTACTTTTCGTATTCAAATTCGCGTGTTCGTGTTTTGCTGGTTGGTTGTAAGTCACCATCTGGTAACTTAATTCTAATGGTAGAGATGGGTGGCGCAATGAAAAACTTACTAGGATGCTTCAGTCTTGATTTATTTGCGAAAAACATACATAGAATCACTTACAACGAAATACTATGATACTCATTCTATGCTGGTCTCTATCAGAAAAGAAAAATTGAATACTGTGGATGTCTTTGACATTCCAATTGATGCTCTTCTAATTTGATGGCCATCTGTTGTGCAGTGTATGGTCTAGCATTGACGTGAAGTAGCAGTGGCGTAGAGTGATTGACTAGCCTCGGTTGTTTAACAGCTAGTTTTTCCACCATGGTTTGCAATTGCTGGCAATAGACGTCTGCCGTAATCGTCTGGCCACCTAACGTTTACAAGTAACTTTTTTGGGGTCAATTTCGCTAGCGGCAGGATTTGCCTGGCACGCCTCGGTCCACTTTTCATCACAGGTAATGATTCGATTTAAAAACCCTTCACGTGATAGGTTAGAAATTTAAGACAATCACGAAGCGTCGCGTAGCGATCGTATTAAATTACGAAGTTGTTTTTTTTTTCAGATCACAAAATCATAACTCTTAACGAATAAACAAGGTATTTCAACAAATAATAATTAGATTTCTTTTTTTGGACACCCTACATTAATGACACTACCAAACGTGGATTGAAATATCATTTAACGTTGACGCTTAAACGATATGATCAAATGGTCTGCCGGATCATAAAATCATCAATTCTACGATATGGCCACGATATATTTAAGTAATGTAATAAGTCGTTTATGGAAAAAAAAATATGTTGCACTATAAATAGAAATATTATTTCATCATCAGCCCTTTTAACTCCCTACTACAAGGGCTCAGGCCTTCATTCTAATGGTGGTAAAGAGGATGGGCCATGACCTTCCAAGCTGGCCCAATGCAGATTAGAGGGTATATGACTGCAAATGCTTGCGGGCTTAATGTGCCTTCCAAACCACTTTTTTGGTCTCCCATCCCGTGACTTTGCGGAAGTTGCTTAACTACAACGACCGCTGGCCCTGGCGATTATCCATAACGCGACTAACTTACTCGGAAAATGAAATACAATATTTTCTATTGGAATCTAAATGTGGATTTGTTTATTTTAAAAATCACTTCAACGTTTTATTGTATAAATCCAAAGACAATTTTTATGTTCATAAATTTCCAAAATAAACATGAACAACGTGTAAAGCTGTTGACAATGATAATATTTTACCGTAAAGTTAACAGCACATCAGCCTATACAAAACTGTTGAATTTTTCCATTTCATTTTAAATCTTAAAGTATTGAGAGTAGAGTAGTGAGTTTTAAAATAAAATGTAGTAAGAAATTTAAGCGTTGCTATACTGGATGGCGTTTATGCTAAAGTAATCTGCGCTAACGTTTCTATCAAAGATTTTGCGTAGATAACGTCTTCAATTAAGTTTTGTGTAAACTTTAGAACTGTTTTTCATCTGTATTTCTGGATTAATATCTTTCAAGTTTTCAAAGATAAAGTGCTGAAACATATTGGATATTTATTGTTTCTTTTTTGTCTTAGAATCTTCGAATTTAAACATCAAGATAATTTCATCATCATCGAAATTTCGCATGTAACGCTACTCTTTATCATTTTCGTATACACCAACAAATGTTCGATTCCAGAGACAATTTTCATGATCGATTGGAGTGAATGGCGTTATTGGATTTCTTATAATGTCAAATTCCGGTTTTTACCATAACTTGAAATATAAACTGGGATTCACCTAGTTAGTTCCAACCAAAAATGAGGGAGGAGGGATTTCTTTGATATCAAATTTCCTTTACACTAGCGATTTCTTTTCATTAACAAAAAGAAGCGTAAGAGTGCAAAGACATATAGATAAGACAGAGAAAGTAATACATAGGCGGAATAACTGGAATCTGTGCGCGAAACAAAGCCGGTATTTCGAGCACAAATTTGTTTTAGTATTCGATCAGAACCAATATTATTTGAATCTAATATATTAACATTATTAATCACAAAATATTAAGTTTCTTACGAGCCAGTTATTAATGCGAGCTCTGGCTCAAGTCGATAGCATATAAGCCAGGCAAGCACAACATCTGCTCAATAATGAAAAAAAAATACTATGGTTAATAAAGGTTCGCCGTGCTGGTTGGCGATGCGTCGAAAAATATCTCGGCGTCGTCTTACCAGATAAAGAAAAGCCCAATGATAGATTTTCCAAAGCCTGGAATTAATAATGTTTTGGAGTGGTATTTGCTCAACAGGCAAAACTTCTGATGTTTTCGGTGATAACGCCATGAAAATGAAGGACGAACTGTACCCAAGGAATATTTTGAAAAATACTCTAAGAAGAACTGCTTATTCTTGGAGTCAGTAGCATTTCAGTGATGGGTAATATATTTTTTAACATAATTCTGCACTATCTTACAGGCCTGTTAGCGTGCAGAAGTGGTGATTTATACCACAATTTAACTGGTTCAATGGCAAATCGTGTTTTATATATGAGAGTCACCAAAACTCTTAACATACCAGAAATTCTGAATTAAATCACTATTTAATGTATAAAAGGACACAGTTGATCACGTGGAATTGATATAGTTAACAAGTTGGTACACAAAGATTCGTATGCAAAAACTCCATCCCGACGTGTCTGTTAAAATTCCACTCAACCGTCATAGTAATTTTACAGACACCTTTACACATCTAGGTGTCATAGACTGCGCAGCACAAGCTGCATGGAGGCAGAAGAAACAGCAGCTGACCCCCTTATTCTATAATTTTGACAACTTCTGAGGATTACCGAAATTAATTGTTCACAGAGCTCTGTGGGCAAGCCTCATTTCTGTAACTCATTTTTAATCAGTAATCCCTAGCCAGTTGCTATATACGATATTTATTTCATTACCATGAAATCACTCATTGAAGTTCACTTTTATATTCTTATTCTAATCAAACGCGATATTTGCGATTTCAATACTATTTGAATATGTTATACGTGTACAAAATATGTTTGGTTCACGTATCAAGAACATTACCCATAGGTAATGCAGTGGCTGGAGTTTGAAATTTTGATCAACCGGTGAGCGTGCAGTACTCCAAGCCAATTACCAAGTCATAAAATTCTAGATAAATTTAATTTCACTACTGTATTTAGTATTAAGGGTTTAAGTATGAAATTTCCGTTATATTGTAATAGGTTCCTTGAATTGACATAGAATCTCCATGGTTTAAGGTTTTCGAAAGAAACTTTTTATCATGGTTTCTATGATGTTCTTCTTGAAAAAAATGTGAAACATTTGAATATCGACTTTCATTGTTTTTGTTATTCAAATTAGACAAGAAAGATTGAATATCAGTTCCGACGCAGAAGTAACGCGGCAGAAACAGGTCGCTATATCAATGTTGCTTTTGGATAGGGGTCTGCTAATGAACGCACCGTGCGAATTTGATTTAAACGCTTTCGTGATGGAAACTTCGTCTTGAAGAACGAGCTTCAAGGAAGACCTGTGTGGGCAGGTGAATAACGATGAATTAAGAGAGATGGTGGAAGCCGATCCTAGTCAAACTACCCAGGAATTGTGGCATGATTTAGCGTTAATGTTTATAATACCCATAATATTACTTATTTGCGTCAAATCAATAAATTAAAAAATACGAAAAGGAGTGCCTCATGATTTGACTGATCTGCAGAAAGAAACGCTTGTTCAAACTTATGTTGCCTTATTGAATCGGAATATTGGATCCAACTGTGACATGTGATAAAAAGTGATTCTTTATGATAACCGTAAAAGAAAAATTCAATGACTGACAATGAATGTGTCCTAAAGCAAAACTTACCAATAAAAAGGCAATGGTAACTATTTGATGGTCTCAGCATGGTGTTATTCACTATATTTTCTTCGATCTGGTCTAACAATAACGGCAGATGTCTATTACACCGAACTCCGAACAATGTTGGCAAAACTAGCAGTAAAACAGCCCCGACTTATGAATCGATCTTCACCATTATTGCTCTATGACAAGAAACCGTTTGGACCCTTTAGGAACTGCAGTTAGAAACCATTCGTCATCCTCCGTATTTCTTGAGCTCTCACAGCTCATACAGCAAGCGTTTAGAAACTCCTGAAGATAACTTATCACGTCTAACTACTGATCGTAATACATATACAGTATTGTTTGAGTCTGAAATTTCCTTTGATAGAGAAATGTGATCGAGCTCTTAAAGAGCTCGGACTTTGCTGTATTGAGAGCGAGAAAGGAGTTTCAATTATCGCCAATCGATGTTTCCTTCAACCTGCCTGTACCCTAATTATAACCTGTGTCACCTAAATATAACGTTACTTCCCGCTGGTGAAAGAATTTTTGAAATCTGTCTAGTGGTTTCGGAATCCATTTGATGCAAAAAAAAAACAATGAAAATGTTCCTTTTTAAGATTAGAAGTTAGCACATTCGGTTTACAATTCGATTAAGTAAGTAAAGTCTTTAACAACAAGAAAATGACACGAACATACATATATATTTTTCATACATAACATTTATTACTATGTACTAAAAACAAACTTAGCGCTAGCCATTTCTTTCAGTCCAGACCTAGCATTGGATGGAAAAAATAGATTGTGCATACAACTAGACAGATAAACAAATAACTTAAAAAATCGAAATCAAAAGAAGAACAGTTGAAACAGCGTAAGAATCACTAATACGAGTGATGTACAATAAAAATGATCAGACATAAGAGAAGTGAGAAAAAATATAGAAAAATATCTATCGCAATGTCCAGCCGTTCACAGGGTGGAAAACCAAAATATTATTATCTTAAGCTCCTCCGTGCTTCGGAATGCAAATTAAGCCGTTGTTCCCGGCTACATCAGTAGTCACTAACACCCACCAATTCGCATTGGGTCCGCGTAGTTCGTTAGGATCATTGATCCTACTCGATTTGATCCCAACCATAGGAAAGAAATAATTCTTCTGATATACTTTCCCACGCAGACGAAGTCGCGGGCACAACTAGTATAATTATATAAATCAAACTTACCTTATATTTGCTAGTGTCGACATTCTTCTTCATCCACTTGTATAAGAATAATCCATATATCATGCCGATGCAGAAAGATGTCATATTTGTGTGTGTGCGTTTATACAAGTAATTAAATGTATCATTCTTAAAAACACCTCTATGATCTTGTCCGACTCTGTAATTTTCAAAAAAATATAATTTGAATGTTATATTAATTAATCTGACTTAGATTTATATGAAGAAAATGGGTTCTCACTTGAAGCCAACGATGAAAGTTCCCTCAAGATCTCTGTTGTAGGTTTCGATAACGGGCAAAACGAGACTGATAGCAGTGAGAATCCATAACACAGCATCCCTGATCTTCTCGGTCGGCGACAGGACCAATATCAACAAGCCAATGGTGTGCATATGCAAATCGGCTGCCGTTGTCCTGGTGAGTAATTTGAAATCATATGACGACTAGGTGTATTTAAAAACCATAGTTATTTCTTTTTTTGTACAGAACCCTAAAGACCCCTTAAGAATCCTATAGAAAATATCAAGTAGTTCTACTTATGTACTACTAACTACTAGATGTTTTCTTAGATTTTTTGAAGATTTTACTATTATTGAAAGTGTTAAAAGACTTTTGTCACTTTTCCGAATATTACTAAATTACTATAATAGTATTACTCATAAATATACTCATAAACTTCGTTTAATATTTAAATGCACAAGTACTAGTAAAAGTACATACAAAAGGAAATTTTTATTGGATAGGAAATCACAATGTGGTAGACCCCGATTGAAGTAAGATAGAAATAAAAGTAGGCTATGAAGAAATAACATCCGATGTGTAAGATTTGGACCATATTTTTTTAAATTAAATAAATAAAAGAGACATTGATTAAAGCAACTTACTAAAAGAAGTAATATCCCACCAAGAACATTTTATGTAAAATTTCACCAAGACATCGTCAAGATGTTTTCGAATCATTATGTAGAGCCATGCTTTTTCAATATACCTAATACAAGCCTTTACTCTATACGTTAATCAAAGATGTGTCGTTTACAACAACTATTATTTATAATAACAGAGTAGTCATGAACCTATGTAACGGTAGCAAAATGGTCAAGCAAGGGAAGGTAAGGCATAGAGTTTTTCAAGTTAGGTCTTGTAAAATCAAGTCAAGTGAGAAGCTTGGCTCTGAAAAATTTTTGACGGTGCAAACCATAAACATTTTGCTTGAAATATTTTAGCGTGCCTCATATATTACCAGTGATGTATGTTGCACCGCATGTTATTTACATAGTTGTTATAGTATAACAGAAGAGAGGGCCAATGCTTTTGACAGTCTTCCACCTCGTCGTTCACCAACGGCTGCGTTAAAATAAAAAAACAAAATCAAAATTATTTATTCAAGCACTTGTGAAAGTCAAGACCTATGCCGTCGATTCGTAAATCTACGGCGGGAGACCTTGTACCGTCAAGAACCGGCAAGAAACTTGGCAAGGGCTGCTTTTTCCTCGCTGTTTTATTTCATAAAGAGCATCAAGATTTAAAAATGACTTCATTGAAATATGAAGAAATTTTCTATTACAATATTAGAAAATATAAAAGTAAAACAGTATTTACGTCAAGCGAATTACGTCGAATAATATTTATTCAGTATATAATATACTAAGTAAATACAACCAGGGTTTGATGTAAAACATCAAAAACCTCGCTGGACTAGGCTTGTCACTTTATAGCTAACATTATAAAAATTAACAATGCCTGTAATATGACTTTTAGTAATTCATTACATTTTGCTTTTATGCAAAAATCAATTGTACTGTAATTTACTGATCAACTTAACCTCTTGAAATAAATATCTTAAAAGATCTACTTACCCCAGATACCCCGAGGTGAGACTTGAACTCACAATCTTTCACAATCCGGGCGATTGCTCTAACTATTGAAATGGCTCAAAAGGACTGATGATTTTTTTAGGTACTTGTCACTTTGCTACTAATGAGTGTAAGGTAGCGATAGTTTCATCAATATTGAGGTAATCTACCCAAGCTTTTTTAAGCTTTTTACATTAAGAATATTTTCCAGCATAGCACTATGAATGCAAAATTGATCGTATGTAACGCTTAAAATAACTTAATAACGCCAAAATATATTTAATTGAGAAGTTTTGGTCTTTATTCGTTATTATACTTACCATTTATTGACCAATAAACCATAAATTCATAATCCGTTCAAGAATATGTTTAAGTATTGTCTCTATATATACTTATACCTTGGGGCATTCTGGGGATCTTGTACATATAATAAGAAAAGCAACATAAAATACGAAAGACCGGTCTGGGTCAACTGCGCATCGGAATGGCGCACGGAGGGTGCCACACCATTATCCATAAAAAACACAAAAATCACGTTTGATATTTAAATTTTTTTTCCGAATTTTACTCTACCACTTTATAGGCGTCATTATTGTGTATACTCATGTCAAATTAAACTTTCTTGCACCAATAGTTTTTGAGCTAAGCCGCGGACGTACGAACGGACGGACGTCGATATATGGATATAAGATATATGGATATATATGGATATAAGGATTCCTTGTTTACTGCGGAACCCTAAAACGGTCTTCTTTGAGCGCCTGCCACTTCACTCTTCGTACGTATACTGATAATAATTTGGTGTTTTCGATCGTCATATTTATCTATTTGATAAGGTTAGTTACCTGCCAATTGGGACCATATGGAGCAAACTTGTACCACGTGAGAACATACAGCAACACGAAGTGGTGCACCGGTGTCAATCTTTATAACAACAAGCAAGAAATCATACAGAAATATTATTATCGTAGTATATAGTTGAGATTCCATTGAGATATGATAATTGCGTAAACATTATCAGAATTGGCCTGCTGTTAATTTACAAATATCCATTGCAAGTTAAGCAAAGTAGCTTTTATGTTAAAGATTGATTTTGTTACTTAGGTAACTCACTTTAAGTGCATAATTGTTTTTGTCCTAAATAAAACAAAAAATAAAATGTAGGATGATTCTCGAACACATGAACTTCCGGTTTGATACAACCGCCATTATTTTTCTTTAAAAATAATGAATATTGACTGATATTTTTCATCGTCCAGAACCTGTCAGACTAAACCACGAATTACAAAATACACCTTTAATAATAAGTTATTTTATAAAATAATGTTGCATTTAACTCTTTAAATAAATTCAAATATTAATTTACCTCAACCATCTAAGAAATATTGCTCTAGGCAACTGGCGCCAGGTCATCGGTGTCTTCTCGTTAGATATTTGTTTAGTGTACACGAAGAAGAACCCAGACATAAAGAAAAACGACTGCATAATGATGTGTGTGTTGTAAAGAAAATGGGGGGCGTGTGCTTCATAGTTCTGGAACAAAACAAATACTTACATATTACTTTAGAACAAAATCACCTTTAAGTCCAAGTATTCCTAACTGACATTCCTAATGAAATTATTTTTAATAGTAGTATTTACTGCTTGATATCCAATTGATGAAGGTATATTATATAATCTAAGGTATAGGTTCGCTTGGAAATTTATTTGTGAGCACAAAGTGCCCTGAATAAATTAATAACATTCCGAAATGGCTAGTCAACCAGTACTGAACTTAAACCTTTAGATTAGTAAAGATAAGTGTACATTTTTGGGGTCATGTGTTATGATATGATAGTTTAATAATGGTTCGTTTGACATAAGAGATTAAAGACAAAAATGAAAAAACAAGCAAAAGGAAACCAATCACATGTAAAACAATTTTCATATTCGTAATTTTATTCTAAATGTTTATTTTTTCCATTAGAATTTATTTCCATATAAAAAAAATAAAATAGAACCGACTTCAAACTTTAAAAAAATAATAAATTATATTTATCTCAATAGCGACTTATTCAAGAAAATGCTATTGAAGTTGGGCGGAGGTTTTCTGTAGGTTATTGATTACATAATTGGATTTGAAGTCAGTTTAAAAATTTTACCTGTTCAATAATATAAATTTCCTTCAACTTATATGTCATATATAATATTATTATTTAACTGTGAGTGTAGGTATTGTAGAAATATGATATGGCTAACATACCTCCTCGAGATGAGCCGTATTTTCAATTGTTGACATTAAAGGTACAATGGCGTGCATGATGATCACCAGCAATGCAGTTATTGATCTGCCAAAATAAATTGACCATAATATTTTTAATAAAAAAATCTTAAAAAATTCACCAGCCCCAGGTAATCCGAGGTGGGCTGGTGTATTCTTCAATCATTAATGTTAATTATCAGTATGGCATTGTCAATGCAACATTGATCAAATGTAATATATAATTACCATAATATTGTTGGATTTATTGAATGTTATACTTACTCAATCAAAATAGGTTTTTTCTTTGTTTTTAAAGACATGTATTTATGTAAAAAGATTACGCTACAATACCTGATTCCACTAAATGATATCAGTCGTTCTGTCATCTTGTCTTTGGGATATGGAGCCTTCAACCTAGCCCAATTGGCCGGTATCGAGAAGCACATCAACAATCCTAATAGGAAATAAACAATTCATAGTTTTATTAATACCTAAGGCTTCTGTTAATGTCCTTCTTAATTTCGTAGTAATGAAAGTATTCTTTCAATTTACGTATGAGCATAAAGTACGAAACCTTTAGGGTCCTTTTTAGCAGCGAATAAGTCATAGTAGGTGGCAGTTGCTGCAAGAGCGATAATCGTCAGGAATAGTGCAGCAGCCACACAGTCCAGCCACGTCACGGAGTGTTTACTCTCGCCGTGCCGGTAGCATGTGCCGTAGTTGACCACCGCCCGTAGACCATACTCCTCCCCCAGGGTGTGGTTCAGGCATAAGCCCATCGCCTCCAACAGTTCCCCGTCCGAATCACCTTTGTAGAACTCCTTACATCGTCTCGTGATACAATATCCATACCTCGGTTTCGTGTAATCGAAATGCCTCATTGCAGAGAAACTGTAATTCTGGTAACAAATTTTTCTCTTTAATACTTGTAACAAAATTTTTAACGAGCTTTGAAAGAATGATGTTATTCGAACGCAAACACAATGATCTATCACAAACAAATAATTGATAGATTTTAAAATAATTTAGACATTAGAGGAAGTTTGAAAGTAGCGCTAGTGATAGAAAATTGAGAAACAACTGACTGATTATTCATGGTTTTGTCGTGTAAATAGAAGAGATATTTGAAATTAACAAAAAGGGTTATATGAGCATGAATATGTAAAGAGATAAAAGATGAAGATGAAGAAGAGAAGATGAAAAGATGGATAGACTAGAGAAAGACTAAGAAGTTGATATGTGTAATAAGATTAAGAAGTATGGAAGAAGAATACATAAATGAAATCGAAATCTTAAACGAATTCAAAATAAATTATCAAACTGAAAATACACCTAATAAAATCTGAGAGAACTTAATAAAAAAAAACGAAATCTACGATCTGTTTAAGAAAACTTAGTAAAATGTTTTGAATAAATCAGTAACTTAAAAAAAAAACTTTATATATGTAATATTAGGGGTTAACGTATGAAATTGCCGTTTTATTGCCGTATTGTAATTCCTTGAATTGACATAGAATCTTCATGGTTTGAGGTTTTTGAAAGATATTTTTTAAATGGTTTCTATGATATTCTTCTTTTAAAAAATGAGAAATTTTGAATATCGACTTTCAATCGTTTTTGTTATTCAACTTAGACAAGAAAGATGGGTACTGCGAAAATTTGAGTGATTTTTTAATATGAGTTCCGACGCGGAAGTAACGCGGCAGAAACAGCCCGCAATATCAATGTTGCGTTTGGAGAGGGGTCTGCTAATGAACGCACCGTTTGATTTTGATTTAAACGCTTTTGTGACGGAAACTTCGACTTAAAGAACGAGCCACGAGGAAGACCGCCCACACAGATGAATAACGATGAATTAAGAGAGATGGTGGAAGCCAATCCTAGTCACACTACCCAGGAAGTAGCGGCATGGTTTAAAATTACCTTTCCCACAATGTTGACTCATTTGCGTCAAATCAATAAAATAAAAAAATACGAGAAATGGGTGCCTCATGATTTGACTGATCTGCAGAATGAAACGCGTGTTGAAACTTGTGTTGCCTTGTTGAATCGGTACAGAAATGAAGGAACATTGGATCGAATTGTGACATGTGATGAAAAGTGGATTCTTTATGATAACCGTAAAAGAAAAATGCAATGGTTGAACCCAGGTCAAAAGCCACAATAGTGTCCTAAAGCAAAATCCCCAAATAAAAAGGTAATGATAACTGTTTGGTGGTCTCAGCATGATGTTATTCACTATATTTTTATCCGATCTGGTCAAGCAATAACGGCAGATATCTATTGTGCCGAACTCCGAACAATATTGGCAAAACTAGCAGTAAAACAGCCCCGACTCATGAATCGACCTTCACCATTATTGCTCCATTACAACGCGAGAACTCATACAGCAGGAGAAACCATTTTGACCCTTCAGGAACTGCAGTTAGAAACCATTCATATTCACCAGACCTTGCTCCAACGAACTACCATTTTTTTTCGTGATTTGGGCAATAAACTAAGTGACAAAAACACACACGGTTTGCACAGTCTAGATCCCCAGAGTTCTATCGCAAAGGCATAAACCTTCCTATTAGATGGCAGCAATGTATAGATAACAATGGTAACTATTTTGATTAAATAAATTTGTTATTAATTAAAAAATAAACAATTTTGAATTTCAGTACAAATCGGCAATTTTATACTTGACCCCTATTACAAAACAATATAATCAATTCACCCGCATCTTTTCGTAAAGTTCGTTGGGCCCATCGGTGACAATGTTGAATTCGGCGCTGCAGTACGCTCCGCCAGGTACGCCCACGCACTGTGAGAAGCGGTCCACATGATGTAAAGGTGGGAAACTGTAGTAATCCTCATCTATTCAACAAATACAGACTATTTGACTAGTAGTACCATGGCTGTCGTATAGACTTGAATTGGCTATGGTTTTGGCCTTTTTCGAGGAAGTGAACAAGGAAGAAAGTGACCCAATATGCAACATTTTAAAAACTTATGTAATATGTGTTAGTTAGAAAGCTTTAAAGTGTCAAATGGCCAACAAGAGGGCAGTGATCAAAACCAGGTCTTCTGCTTTAGTATCATCTCCATGTCGTTGATAGAATATAAGAGGGGTCTTTATTATAAATATAATATAACATACTTTTGTTTGTCCTTAAAGTTCCTTTAAATTATACACATAGTTTTCAACCAATTTCAAAAAGCAAATGAAGGAGCTTTTTTTATTTATTTTTTAATGCCTGGCCTTACATGTTTGGCCGAGCTCCTAATTGCCCCCACTCAGTAGCAGGTCTTTGTTTGCTAGCTTCTCTTTCAATCCAGTTCTATCATGTACATGTCCTTTCATTCCTCATACTGTATCTTTCTTTCATACTATCTCTTCCACATTTCGAACGAATGGGGTTTGCCGCATCTGTTACTATTTGCCACTTTTATTTATTTGTTGTGAATAAATTTTTACAAGATTTATTTATTTCTTAACTTATTTCTATTTACTTATATGTAACCATTATTACACTATATTTATTACGCTATTATTAAATTATTACATTGCATTCATTTATTTAGTCATGTCCATTCATTATTAAATTACACTACATTATTCCATTTAATCTCGTTATTTCATACTATTACACTATCATATACATATATTGTATATATTCATACTATTAATAATGATAGTTATAATGAATTTAAACTGTCTCATTTAAATTCATTATAACTATCATTATTTAGGTTGCGACCCGATTCTTTCCGACCCCCTAAGCCTCTCAATATTTCATGTCATATTATTACCTTTACCTATTTCTATTTGTAACTATTGTATATAGTACTTGTCCTTATTTATTAATCTTTATTCGATTCTATAACCTTCTTTATAATGTTTTACTGTATCTTATAAAATTGGGCATCTTCCCTCCAACCTCCATAACCGGTAAATTGTCTGCACTAATTTTATATTTAATGTTCTGTGTTAATGTGTGTCTATCGTTTGTGTACACCGGAAATTCCAACAGGATGTGCATTAGATCCTGCACCTTCTGGGGGTCGCACACGCAAGATGGGGTGTCTCTGCGTTTATAATCATGGAGAAGAGAAATTAGACTCGATCCTACATCGAAACCCTCCATGTCCCGTGAGTAGAGTCCGTGCAGTTATTTTGTCATTCGTCATCTTTCGCACGACGCCAAAGGCCTTCTCCGCATTTGGGAAGAAGGCCTTTGTCGTGGCCGCGGTACCCTCGCTTCTATAACGGCTATCCCACTCTATCCAACGGGAAATGATCTCAGCCGCCCCTATACAATAGGACAAGGCGGCACCTACTTTACCGTCCAGCTTTGAGCCGTCTGCACCCTAACCAGGCCCTCTGGCAGTTCACCATCCTCTTTTGCGCTTTCCACACATTCAAAACCTATCATACTTGTACTGCTGGGGTGGTTCGATTCCAGCAGAGACACCCTCTCCTCAACTTTTCGCCCGCGCAGTACCTCCTGGGCCTTTCTCCGCTTCGCCTCATAGAGCCGGGATGCCTCTTGGATCCTAAGGTCCAGCGGAAGCAGCCCCGACAGTATCAGCGCGGCATTAAGCGAGACCGTCCTATACGTCTTGGCGATCTTCTGTGCAAACCCCCTCGCATTTAGTGCTTTCCTACATTTCCCCTTGTTTGCCTCAGAGCCCCACACACTTGCCGCGTACAATATTATGGGCTCTATGACCGCCAGGTAAATCGTACGTATCACCTTAGGACTGAAGTCCCAATTGGTCCTAGCCGCCCTAGGAATACCCCTGTAGATGTTTAGTGACTTCCTGCATCTGTATGTATGAATTAAAGGTGAGTTTTTTGTCAACGGTGACACCCAGAATTTTTATCTCTGTAACTATATTTATTTTGGTCCCTGCCATGCTTAATTGTGGATTATTTTAATCTTTTTAAAATGTTATTTGATTATCTAAACTCCATTCACTATAACATTAGAAAAAAGAGGGTCACAGAAGCAGCAGTGCAGAACATTTTATTTTCAAGATAAATTTAAAAAATATATACTATAGTTTTGTTGAAACTTTGAACGTTAGGTAGTCTGAAAGAGCTGGGCAATTTTCCATTTTTTATAATACCTCGGGGTTGAGATGAGGCCAGCATTTTATAAATTCATCTTTTAGCCCCAAGCCAGCATGGAACTAAAACTGAAACTATCTGTGTGTTTTGATAAATTCTAATTGTAAGTGTAATAAGTTAGACTATTGATGAAGACATTGGAAAAACTCCGTGAAATGTCAAAGTTTGAGGGTAGGTATGGGAGCTTAGAGCGTAATTTTTGTAGGCCATTTGGGCCTGTACCGGCATCGTCCATATTTACCAAAACTTAACAACAAAAATAAAATAATAACATCACGGAAAACGGCTAAACAACAAGAAAGGCTATGAATAAATAATAGTCTGACAAAATTAAAAAGCTGTACTACCGAAACGCTTGAAGGGGTTAGGCAACGTTTTAAATTTGGTAGAGTTATAGTGACATGAGAATCGTGCCGAAACTATCCAACCCTGCTTCTTTAGGTTCTTTACGATGGACACTTTTTATTGTAATACTTATTAAATCATTTAAGTTTGTCATATACTTATAAATTTGTTTAATAGATAGCTTAAATGACAACAGTTAAGTATAGCAGCTGGTATTTAAGTGAATATGTAGCAAATTAGCCATCAGTCTTAATAGTAACACAATTGTTAATATTTTGTCACAAAATATACCATAAAAAGAACCTTATTTCACTTCTGTCTAATGGTATAATGAATGGAGTATAGTCTAGTTATATGCGCAATCTATAATTTTTTGTTGTTTTTCCATCCAATGTTAGGTTCCCTTAAAACAATCGCTGGCTAGCGCTAAGTTTTTCTTTAGTACGTCATTATAAATGTATGAAAAATATTTATGTATGTTGTGTGTTGTGCTAAGTGCTAAGTATAATTTAGTGACATTATTTCATGCGTTAAAAACTCCAAATTCCCACCTCCCTTAAAAAATTTAGTACATCATTATGAATGTATAAAAAATATTTATGTATGTTGGGTGTTGTACTATGTGCTAAGTATAATTTAGTCACATTATTTCATGCGTAATAAAACTCCAAATTCCCACCTCCCTTAAAAAATTTGAAAGCAGCGCCTACAGCGACGTCTCTTACCATCTAGCGGTCAAGACAAGAAAGGCCTTTTCAACGCTTTGTGTGCCCTGATAATATATCGCCTTGAAGCTAACCTAGTGTAAGTCACTGCATGCTTTCTCTTTTTAAATCGTCATCATCAGCCCATATTCGTCCACAGCTCGACATAGGCCTCCCCAATTGCACGCCATCAGCTCCTGCCAACCATCGCTCCACCGCGCCTGAGGACGTCCTACACTAATTTTGCCGAGACGCGGTCTCCACTCAAGAAAGATGTGAAGACCCGACGTAGTTTCTCAAACGCTGCCCAACCTTTTTTTTTTTTTGACGCTGAGAAATGCGTTCCGCATACCCGCTTCACCCTGCGCGGGCTCTACGGGTTGTGTGGGACTCTCCCCTGCGGACCAACCCCAGAATGGGGCTGGTCAAAAAGCAGGGGCCTACCCACTAAAACTCAGCGATGTCCCTCACGCGCCAGTAGGGCACCGCATGGGTCCCATACGGGACCATATTCCGCGCACCTACCTATGCACGACCCACCCCTAACAGGGTGGGTACTGTCTCGGGTTAGGGAAGGGCTCAGGAACATTCGAGTCCAACCCCAGACAGGACAAGGAGCGTGCAATGCCTGGCGAGCGCGCTTACCCGCCAGACTTGCCCCCTGTCAAAGGCAGGAGATGCGCAATTGAGCATCTCCCACCCTAGCCCGTCTAAGAGAGGGAATTCACCCGGGCAGAACCCTCGTGAATCCCTTACCCCGATAGCCCCGGATACCAATGTCCAGTCCAGCGTACACCGAACCAGTCACACAATCAGAGCGCAAGATGGAAAATTCCCTCACCAGCATACGCTGGCCGACTCCTCAGTTTCCCTTACTACCAGCTCTCCAAGCCACCCTACCGATCGTTACTAGCTGGGTTGCAAGGCGAAAAGATAGCCTTCGCGGATTCAAGACCTCGGGTACAGGAACACTGTCATGCTCCTGCCACCAGAGGCCCGTCGTCCGGTCCGCACGGGAAAATCTAAGGCACGGGAATTTGGCTAACCTCTAGGAATAGCCCCCCCCCCCCCGCTCCCACCAATGAAGCATCCGGTACCCTCTCTTCGGAGAGGGATGGAAGCAACACTAACGGAAACGCTGCCCAACCTAGCCAAACTCTTCCATTTACCCCGCTCTAGAAGTTGTTTCTACCTAACTACAATGTTTGCCCGAGGTATACATATTTTGGAACAATTCCGAGAACGGCAATGCGTGCTGCAATCGGTTCCGGTAGTACATGTTTGTTGAACATGACCTTGGTTTTATCCAAGTTCATTCGTAGGCCGATGCGCATAGAAGAGTCAGCCAGGTCATTCAGCATCTGTTGTAGGTCCTGCAGATTTTCTGCCATGATGACGATGTCGTCAGCAAATCTCAAGTAAGAGATGTACTCGCCATAGATGTTGATGCCACGTCCTTTCCAGTTCAGCGTATTAAACATATCCTCCATTGCAGTAGTAGACAATTTCAGAGATATAACGTCTCTTTGTCTCACTCCTCGATGCAACGGTATAGGACTTGTCTGCTGATTCTGTACTTGGACGGTCATGGTGGCGGCCTCATAAATACATCTTATCACTTGGATGTATCGCCAATCGACTTGGCATCGCTGCAGGGACTCCAGAACGGACCAGATCTCAATCGATTCAAAGGC